TAATGGCCTGGTGGCAGGATATGATGGTAGCTTAATCATGAAGTGCCTTCTGCTGTGCAAAAGTCTGAAGAGGGAGCAGAACTGTATCCTAAACTAAATTTGAAGTGTATGCAGCAGGGGCATGTGGGCCAGCCTCAGGATCTGTGTGTGCAATCCGGGGAGGAGAGGACCAGTTTGTCTCCCATGGCCAGGGCACCATGTCCCCAAACAGATGAAAGACTCCAAAGCAAATCATCATCGCAACTGCCACGCATGAAGTGCTGATCACCTGACAGGAGCAAGGGGATAATAAAGGTGACCTGCCTGAAGGTGAACAAAGAATATTTATTTGTAAAGCACTCAGAGGCAAATACTCTACAGGCATTAGTTATATGTTATTGTTGTAATCATTACTATTAGCCCTTAGTCATTAGTGATCACAAAAACATGAGGTCTGTGTTATTATCAATCCTCTTTATAGAACAGGAAAGAATAGCTTCAACAGGTTACATAATCAACTCAAGGCCACAGAGTAACAGAGAAGGAGCGCCTGCTTGAAATGTCTGGGGCCTAAGCCCAACCTGGACTTCCAGTCTTGAAACTCTAAGAGAAGATGGCAGGAGGAAGCTGGGAGGTCCCAGAGGACCCCAGGCCTGAGATCAGCCAGGGGAGGAAAATACAGGACATTCTGCTGAAAAGGCAGGCCTTGCTAACTTTGTACCTCCCCTAATTAACAACAGAAAGTCAAACTGCTTAAAATAAGAATGATTTAAAAAGAAAACCACCCCCTGTGGTGGCCATTGCGAGGCTCCAGAGTGAGCCAGTGTCTTGGAGTACAGTGAGTTCAAGTTCAAGGAGCAAAGCAGTGGCTGTCTCAGTGCCTCCTGGCTGGGCTCCAAGCTTTCAAACGAACACATAACTCTGCTGAACATACCATTGGAAAGCCAGAAAGATGCCCCTAGGTTGCTATGGCAATGCTAAACAGACAAAACATTTTAACCAGCTCTGACGCACACACACAATCTTATTTAAGGGGAGAAGGGTCGAGAGCAGGGCGTATTGTTTCTACAGCTCATCTCCATGGATCTGGCCCCAAAAGCATCTGGATGAGACCGAAACAGGGCAGATTCCTTAAACCAGAGCAGAGGGTGGGCTTGCTGGGGGACAGAGAAGGGACCACCAACATCTCTGCTTTTGGCCAAAGTCACACTGTCTTTCCAAAGGCCAAGCAAAGATTAAAACGTCTTCTCCCTGGAGTCAGCCCTCCACCATCCAACACCTGGTTGTGGGAGTGTCACGCTGGTCCACAGCAGAATTGAGGGTGACATGCACTCTGGGTGTTGACGCGCCTGTAAAGCTTACAAGATTGTGCTGGCGCATTTAGTGCTGATAGTAAAAATATTGACCACTGTAACCCAACAGCTTCCACATCCCATGGTTGAACTTGAGTCCACAGAGCTGACGAGCATGAGTAAGTATTTTCCTTCAGTAAACTTTGCTCAATGCTCCCCGATGGGCATTGCTCCCTGGTCAGTGACGATAAATGAAGATTTGTCCCTGCTCTGAAACCACTGAGCATATTGACTCTTCTGACTCTGTGCTCATCCCTACCTCACTCTTCATCTCAGACATACAGAACAAAGGGTTGTAGCTGCGGAGAGGCTAGAAGAGTCTCACCAGACCCAGCTATGACACTTCAGTGCATGCAATAAACAAATGCTGTAAAACCCTCCTCTGCAGGATTTAAGAGAACGGCAGGTAAACTAAATTTCCAGTGATGGGACTCTTCCACCTGTCTTTCCCTTGGGGTGAACCTCTTGTTTTTCAAGACTCACCCCTTGCACAGTCTTCTTAAATTTCCCCTCACCCCCAGGATGAAAGGGATCCCTAAGTGAGCAGATGTCTGTTGAAAAAGAGGCACAACTTTATTATTCTGACTGTGCCCTGGTCTCCTTCAGTCCAATCATCAGGGGGTTCCTTGAGACACAGGGAACACACATTGTTCACCTGGATTCACCTGGCCTACCATAGTGCCTGGTATTCACTGGCACTCTGAATGTTTGCTCATTGACAGACTAAAGTGATGCAATGCTTTGCCCTCATTTGTGCCTGATGTCCATGGAAGTCTCCAGTCTTTATTCTCCAGGTATATGTTTTCACTTCCCCATCTGTAGGGAGAGAAAGTGGGGGAGGGAGCAGGACTTGAAGCCCAGCTGGAAGTTGGGGGTTAGAGTGGAGAATGGAGCTGCCCAGCAACCTAGTGGACCAGAAGGAGAGTAAGTGCGGGGTGAAGGCAAGAGGTGTGCTCTCTCCCATGGCACATCTCTCCTCCTGCCTACAGCAGCAAAACCCACTTTTTCTACCCACTCCTTAGATGACAAAATAAATTTGCCCCTTGAAAACTGAAAAAGTAGGCCCCCTTGGTGGTGCAAGGAGTTAATTCTCAGTACTATGAAGCTATGGGCAGCCACTGCAGCATGAGCTGGAGCCCTGGCCCTGGAGGTGACCCACATGGTGCAGCAGACCTCTCCTGTGTCATCTGCTGCTCCCCTCATCAGTGTCTTTCTGTCTATCTGCCTGTTCTGCTCCCCACTCTGTCTCTGGTGAATCTTCTCACTTGCCCTGTTAATCCCCCACCCCATACCTCTGGCCTACATCCCAGCTCTTGTATGCACAAATAAATAAATCTTAAAAAATAATTTTAAAAAGAAAACTGAAAAAGCACCCATTCCACTCCTGCCCTGAGACAAAATTGATTTTCTTTGACACCATTAAAGACCCAGGAAGATGCTGTTTCCTCAGGGAATGAGCATGCTAACTCTGTCCTGATTATTTTTAATGGAATCACAGATACCCTCCCATCATGTACATATCCCAAGTTCTCATCTCCTTGTATGCCATCTTCCTTGGCCACTGATACTTTTTATACCTTCTTTCCCTCTCATACTTAAATAAGAAAGGATTAGCAAACAATAACACCAGATCTTCATCACTGTCCACCTTAACAGAAGCCTACTTGGGAGGTTAACCTTCTAGAATTCTATCAAGGGTGGTTCACCTGCTATACCATAGTCTCAAATTACACTTCCCATAAGTAAAAAAGCTTTGCCATTTGTATCCTACAAGTATATACTAGTGTCTCAGTTAGTCATACCACCACCCATGCTTGGCTGGCATAAGCGCTTTCTGGATGGGTGCCCCGGAGCATCCTATCCTGTCAGAGGGATGTGTCATTGTTTTATGATGTACGGGAAGGGACAATGGATGACTATGGTGGAGATTCTCACATTGTCCTGGACTCACAGCCTGTGTGCTGAACTGTTCTCTGCTGTGTTTACCACAAGATCATGTCTGCCTCTACCCCCAGTCTGGAATTAATTATCACAGACAGAGAATTTTATGTTCCTGTTTTCCAAGAACAACAACAAAAAATAAAAGTCATGAAAAAAAAAAAAAAGAGGACTTCCGTAATTGAGTTATGGTTAGACCACAAAACTGCATTGGGGCTACAGTAGTATTTATAAATAAATTTGCACATAGAAGTAAATTTACACAGAAAAAAAAATCATGGTAGTGGCATTCTATGTTTGAAAGTGGACTTCAACAATACATAACATCTCCAAAAGAAGGAGCAGAAAAGACAAATGCACTGACTAAAATACAGAGTTCACTACCTTTCAAAGTCTTTTCTACACATGCATTATAATGAACTGGGACAAATACCTGGACAGCTATGCCAGCAGGCAAAACTCCATCGCTTTCATGTGAAGATATGACTGCATGTGTAAAATGCTTGCACTAAAATTAAGTCTTCTATCTTCCAAATTTTCTCAATTATTAATACACTAGACAGCTGCTGTAGCCTTAGCAAAAAATAGCAGCCAAGCTTTCCAGCCTGGAAATGTCTGCGTGGGGCTTTCCTATGTAAGAAGCAGTTCTCTCTAGATCAAATAGAAAGAAACCAAATCTCCAGGGAACAACAAAAAAGGAGAAATCAGTCTTAGAATCTAAACCGAAACTGTTTCTCTCCCAGCGCACACATGTACACACATCTCTTGTTATCATAAAAAACACTTTTTATCCAATGGAAAAAATTTAACTGATAAATTCATTCGGATCACAAGCAATTCAGACAATTAAATAGTAAACCCAAGGAATTCCAATCACTTTGACATATTCTGAGTGAGACTGTCAAATCATGCCTATGCAAAGGCTGTGCAATGGGGTTAGAAAAACAAATTACATCTTTCTTTAGTGTTCTAGAAGCAAATTAATGTCCAGCAAAAACTGCTGGTCTTGAGTTTCCACCTTCATGTTTTAAACAGTGTCATTTTAACAAGCTGCTCATATACATTCCTTGGTAAATATTCATGTTTGAAAAGCATGTTGAAGGGAAAAATTAAGAACTCAGAGAAAGAGCACACCAACTTCACGGTTTCTGAATTAGTAGTGATCAAGAATTTGAATTCAAAGATTATGTGCCAGATATTCAAGAACAGACTTTAGAAGATTAAGTTGGTTTCTTTTTTAAAGAAGGGGTCATAACAGAGCATCAGCACATCACATCAGAGAAAGTATTACTCATCCAGGTTAAACTAATAATGGTCCGGTGTCGTGGCACGCGCGACATCTTTGGTCATAGTTCTGATTTCACACCATTGCAACCATTCAGGCAGCCAGACCACAGGTCCGATTTCTGACGCACTGTGAGTCTCTGAGGAAGCCAAGCAAGTCATAACAATCCAAGTTCTAAACAAGCATATGTTTATACCAGTTCTGCAAAATTTGTTTCTAAAAGCAAGGGTCATACTTCACTTTTGCTGTCTACAATCTATGTAAAAATCACAGCCATTTTTCTGTAAATGCCAACAAATGTCAGAGAAGCAGAACAACAGCTACTTAGAAATGGCTGTTAGTTTATTAATATAATCCCCTAGAGGAAGCCTCTGGTGTGAATGTTTTCATGATGGTCAAAATCATTTAGGGGCAGTACTTACTAACAAAACCCACGCACCACTTACCATTTGTGATCTGTTCTTTGGACAGCCATTGATGTCTTCAATCTTTTCATTTGCTGAAAAAGGAAACACAAATCAGAAAAATAATCACCACAAACACTTTGAAAAGCCATGTACAGGCCCCTTGAAGCCACCCAAGTCCTGAGATCCGTACTTGGTTATGTCCAACCAAAGCAGGCATGTGAAATTCTGAGCCGCATCTAGCAAGCTTCAGCATTTACTCATCGAGCGTCCTCCTGGGACAGCTGGGACAAGGTCACTGTCATCTAAAGTAGAGACAACTGCATGACACAGTGCTGGAGTGATGAGGCAGCGTGGAAATGTCTGGAGACTGGGAAACAGGCTGAGCCGTAATTACGCCTTGGACTCTTGGGAAGGCCAAGCACAGCCTCCCCACACGTGTGGGGCTGACAGTTCAAGGTGGGCCAACCCAGCTACTGCTTGCTCAGGACAAAGCCACAGATGATATCATCCCACTGCATCTTCAGGCAGAACAACTAGTATCACTTTTGTTTGTCCTAATCAATTCCCCGAGTGGTGGCAAGTGGGTACACTAGAAGGATCAGACTGAAAAGTGGTTTGTAGGCTGCACAGTAATCCTATTAAAATGTGGAGCATAAGTTCCGAGTCATCGTAGCTACTTCAGAGAAATGGAGACAGAGATAGAAAGAGGTTGTAATGAATTAATTGGGACTCAAGCAACCAATACACAAAGGAACAAAGAGCCAGCTTCTCATGGCAAATGCATTTCTTCCTAAGGGTGGAGGAATCCATGCAAGACACAGACCAGGATGTCAACAGAGGGGCCAAGCTTGCCACTGAAGCAGCACAAGAAAGGCAGTATGTGTAATGACTTGCCATTTGCTTTGAAGGCAAAAATAACCCAGTTGGAATGCCAACTCAACAGCTTCTGAGCTGTGTGATCATAACCATATCGCTCAACCTCTCTGGCCATGCTTCCTTAGCTCTATGTGGAGCAAACGTTACCTATGTAGCACTGGCAAGGCACAGGCAGGTGGTCTATGACCTGGGCAGACAGGTAAAGGAAGTCCTGGAGCTCTTGGTGGCTTTTTCAGGGTTTTCACGATCTCGCTACACCATTTTTAGAGGCAGGTGCAGGGCAGGCAGAGGGCCTGGGGGGCTGGCAGGACTCCTAGCCCCTAACCCCCGTGAATCATTATTCTTTCTGGGCTCTCCGATAGTCTCTGGTGGGTTCTCTGCTGGTGTCGCCAGATCTCTGCCTCATGGATCTCTGCCCTTATAGGCTCAGCCTCCAGGCTCATGTGTGCCCAATCACACACACCCCACCATACTCCGGGTGCCCCCAACAGGCCCACGTGTAAGACCACAGGTGTCGATCATTGACATTAATGCAGCAAGACATGAAAATCCCGATCACCTCCAATTACCCTACAACCTACTTCACTGGAAGAGTAGTGAGACTAGAGTATATCTTCCAGTAAAATGTTTATTCATTCAGTGCCCAAAATACAGTGAGTATCCTAAAAATGGTAATAAACATTATTAGTCCAATAGTATATATCATCACCTATATTACATATACTAATAAAAACTTTTGCTATGTCCATTTGAGTTAATCCCAGAAACTAGGACTCCACAGAAAAAAATTAAGGATTTGCCTCCTCCGCTAAGTCTTTGTTTATTGTTATTAAAGATTTATCTTATTTATTATGCATTGAAGAGCTGGGATGTAGTCCAGAGGTATGTGTGTGGTGGGGGGAGGAGAGATGAGAGGATCTATCAGAAATAGATTGAGGAGCAGAACAGGAGGATTGACGGCAACATACTGCAGAGGGGAGCAGCGGGTGAGACAGGAGAGGTCTGCTGCACCATGTGGGTCACCTCCCTGGCCGGGGATCGACTTGTGCCACCGTGGCTGCGGGCAACCCATTAGTGCTGTAACTTAACCCTTAGTGCCACCAGAGAGACTCACCTCTGCTAAGTCTTAATAAGTTTTCCCCCACAAATTCAAGCCCCTAGCCCCACACCTCACCCCTAAAAGGATAAGGCCTTTGTTTCCTCAGCACCCTGAACCTTTCTCCAGTTTGCTCATAATCACCTAATGTCTGATTCCTTTTCTTGACTTCCCCGGAAGTACTATGAGAGTTAGGCATGCTTGGAGATTTTGATTTCTACATTTGTATCCACAGGGGTTAGTGAGAGGCTTCAAAACTGAATTCCAAATATATGTATGTATGTGTGTGAGTATATACATCACATTATATGAGTGTGTGTGTGTGTGTGTGTGTGTATCACATAAAATCACACCAGATTTTAATGACTCTGATGGTTCCATGAAAAGACATTTAAAACTTCCTGAAATGAAAAACAGAATAAAAACGCCTCAGGTCTCTAAAATTTAAGAACACCTGAACCCTAAATATAGCTTACTATTCCCTCACTGGGCTAAGTTTTTCTCCAATGATTCTACCTTGAGAGAGAAGCGAATAATAAGAAAGGTAGCTAGTGGCAGGAAATTGTTTTAACAGTATCTTTACTGTGAGACAGCCTGGTTAGTATACATCAGCCTATTCTACATCTTTAGAATTTGCCAAAAGTAACAGAAATTCAGACTTACGGCCCACCTGGGAAGATGAGAGATCAAATTGAGTTTTCTAGGCTCTTAACACTGAGAAAGGTATTTCAAGGAAGTGTCTTCCACCTGCTTTCCCTAGTCCTAAAAGAGGTGCCATAAAGCATTTAAAACATATATAAAAGACAGATGTCTCATTCCTTGGACATTTGTTCTGAGGTTCACCAGAAAATGCCATTAGCCAGAGTGTATGACCAGCATGTAAACTCCTTAAGAACAAGTAGTTTTATCTCCCTTCTTTCCTACTCTTATGCCAGAAATGTAGGACAGTGCCTGACACATACTAGTCACTCGATGAATGTTTGTTGAGTGGAGCTCAGAAATGAGAATCTTGATCATTTGAATGAATCAGGGTTTTACTGCCTATTTGAGGGAGCTACCCTTTCACTTGTAAATAGAGATGTGCCTGCCTAAATTGAGGGAAAAAACAAATCCTTAACAAATGTTACTTTTTCATACATGTAAAATTAAGGCAGGCATGCACTCTGACCTTCGATTTTAATATGCAATACTGGAAAATAAGTATATTACCTTTGAAAATTAAGGTCACTCAAGGGGGCCTCCCTGGTGGCATAGGCACTAAAGTCTCAGCACTATCAAGCTATCACCAGTCATCGCTGTATGAGTTCGATCCCCGGCCCCAGAAGTAACCCACATGGCACAGCAGACCTCTCCTGACCCTCCTGCTGCTCCCCTCAGCAATATATTTCAGTCAGTCTACCTGTTCTGCCATCTGCTCTGTCTCTGGTGAGTCTCTCACCTCCTGCACCTCTGGCCTGCACCCCAGTGGTTCTTGTGTGCATAAATAAATATTTTTTTAAAAAAGAGAAAACCAAGATCACTCAAGATGTCTTCCAACTGGATACGCATGATGGCCAATGTCATAAGTCACTGGATTCTGATGAACACCCAGTTCAGTATTAGGTCACTAGTGCTCATTAAAATGAAGGATGGATCACTGTGATCCTAAGAAATCATTTAATTTGATTAATTTGATTTCATTCTTTATATACTATCTGGCTAAACAAAACCAAAGGGCTTGTTCTAATTACTCCTCTAATTCCTTTCAAGGTCTACACCTAAAACACAGTTAGGTGCTCCTTGAGTTCAGTTATCACAGCTCCGATAGTCCCAATGCTGACAATTCTTAACATTCAAAATAAATCAGTGGGATGGCATCTAGAATATAGGGGAAAGAGATACATCAAGTGATTAAGCCCAAACTCAAAGTACATACTTGATAAAAATGCAAACCAAGTTTTGGATCTTCTATTCTTCAATTTTATGTAAGTTAAATGTTTTGCCTTCGCTTAAATCCTCAAGAATTTCATGGCTGTCATAAATACTTAGAGTAACAATAGCAGCTATGATTCTGCTGGTAAAAAGGAAGAACTTGGCTTTCAGAGCTGAATTTATTAACTTGGGGTAAGGGAGTCTTTGGCTACAGCCCCAAAGCAGATAACCAAAGATGCAAAGGCACTTGTCCCCCAAGTCCTCAACTCTGATTAAAATTGGCATTAGCAAGTGCCAATGATAAATTATTTATTCTACATATTCTTAGCTCACAAATGCAGTAACACACGGTGACAAGTTAGTAATTGGAAAGCATCAGTGTACTTTTTTTAAATCAGAAGAGTGGCATCAAGCTCATTACTTTTAAAACACCTCCTCTAAAGGCTTCGGAGTATTTCAACAGCTTCCTACCTTTGTAGGGACTCTGTACCTGTGAATAAGGCAGCAGCAATTCAGCCAATGGGAAGAGAGAGAAGCAGGCTGCCTAGAAATGCAATGATGGACCCAAGGTCATGAAAAGGTAATGGTCATCAAGGAAAAAAGGTAGTTGTGTTCAGAGGTAGCTGAACTGGTGGTTTAAATACACACACACACACACACACACACACACACTAAGTAGAAGGGCAAAGGACAGGGTCTAAGTAGCCTACGCTGACATGATTCAGGAAAAAAAATAGGTTCCTATGTACAGAGAAAGGGGAGGGAGAGAGTCAGAAGGACAGTGAAATGGGTGAAGATCTGTAGGGACTCTGAAGTATTCCTGTAAGTTTGACTTTTCTGCAAGTTTGAAGTTTTTCAAAATAAGATGTTCAAAAGAAAAGAGCACGCCTAATGAAGACCTATCAAGATTGGCAGGTGAGAAGCTTGCTCTTTTGAAGGGGAAACTTCTTTCTAGACAGGAAGGACTGCAGTGAGATCCAGCCCAACATAGTTGGTGAGATTTTTGTGGGGGGTGCGAAGGTGGGGATCAGGGAAAGATTCTGCAAAGAATATACTTAGAAGCAGAAGTTTCAGATTTGGAACTAGCTAGGTGGAAAGGGTATTCCTGGTCAAGAAAATACTGTGCAGAGGGGTCAGAGGGTCTAGAGCTAGAGGGTCAGTGAGGCAAAATCAGGCAGTGTGACCAGGTATTGGGCAGTGAACTCAAAG